GCCAAGGTGAAGGTGCCCGAGGGTGTTGTGGAGGAATGGTTCACCACGTTTCAATCTGTGAAGTCTTCGCACATGTCTTCGAGAATTGATATGCCGGAGAACGCAAAAGGTGCGGCAAGGGTGCCCTTGATGGTATGGGACCCGAAGTCCGAAGTGGGCGTCTCTTCACTGTCAAGCGTTGACAAGTTAAGTTACGCTAAGGCATGTTTGGGCCGAGCCTTGGTGAGTTCGGTAGCGGCTGAGAATGATCATAGCCGAATTGCGGCTCAATTGGACGGGAAGAAGGACACTATCGCTGCACGAGATGCTATTATTGCATCGTTGAAAGAGGAGTCGGCTAAGGTGGAAGCCGACCTGAAAGGTAAGATTTCGGAACAAGTCACGCAGTTGGAGACGGCGCAGGCTGAGATCTCGGTATTATCCGAGGAAAAGAAGGCTTTTGAGACCGAGGTGGCCGATCTTAGGGCGCGCCTAGCCTTTGCCGAGCAACACTCGAAGGCTTTAGAAGCCAAAGCCGATGAGACCGAGAGTAAATTGTTAGAGGAAAAAGAAGAGTGTGAGAAGACTCAAAAAGAATGTGTCGAGGTCCGCGAACTTGTAGGTCGGCAGCGGGATGCTCATCAAGCCGAGATGGCAAAGCTTGAAAAAGAAAAATCATCCTACGGGGAAACCATGTATGAGATCAGCTTCCAAGCTGGGTAAGAAACGGTTGCAGTTACGGAACCGAAGTCTGGGGATGACGCCGAGGTGGAAGCCGTTGATGCTGGCGAGGATGATGAAGTCGGTGGGCCTGACCTCGAAATTGAAATGAACACCTGTCTGAATCTCCGATGGGTCATTGAGCATTATGATGCGGGTTATTACGATATCGATGATATCCGTCTGTTCTTATTTCACAAGCTCGCAAAGTACGGTTTTGACACCGAGATAGAGGGAATGCACGTGGAGGCCGACGAGGATGAACGGGAATTTTGTGTTTGGATGCTACGCCGATCTGAAGAGATGAATGTGAACCCCGACTTGCTGCCACTGCCCGAGGATAGAGCTGCTCTCCTCCGACGTGCTTACATTAATATGATTTTGTAGGGAGAGAAGGAGAAAAGGAAGGAGTTGGCCGATGTGTATCTCTCAACTCTCGCCGATGTGGAGGTCGAACAACATTTTGATGATATGACCCCGGAGCAGATTCAGAGCAGGGTGAAGGCGTACATTGAGGAAAAGGCTAAGTCGACTAACAAGGAAGTTGAAGTCGTCAAGGTTGTCACGCCGGCTGAGGGTGAATTAGATAAAGCACCGGATCCCCGCGATGAGTTCATTCCGGTGTCAGATGGAGCCATTGAGACTACTGCCAAGGCAAAGGAAACGGAGGTCTTGGAGCGATTATCTTGAGGGACTGAAATTGGAAAAGGCAGTGGTACGGGCAGCAATGTGGAGAAGACAACCGACGTGGCTTAAAGTTTGGAAGTATTATATATAACTGCACTATTAATTCTGAAATTAGACATTGGGGTGCCAGCATGTTGGCATCCTTAGAAGGAAATATATGAACATGTAATCGGGGATATCAGGTAGCTGATTCCCTTAGTTAGAAATATGTAAGGGTTTTCCCGACTTTTTAAGATATATATTTGATGTGTTTGCGTAATATCTGTCTTAATTTATTTTGCTGTACAAATTTAAGCGATTTTTCGACTAAGTGTACTGAACTCGGTACGGATGTTAAGATGAATCACCCCAACTCGGATCTATTTATATCATTAACCGAGTCGTACGCTTTTGTAAAAATAATGTCCGAGTTCCACTTTAGTCTTTTTTAATATCTTTAGCCACCAGTGTAAGTCATATGCGAACTTTCTATGAATTCACAAGACTTAACACATTTTTGGGCTGTACGTGAAACAAAATAGAGTTCACCGAACTTCGTCAGAGTTCGATTATGGAATGGCCCCAACCGATTTATATCTTTTGTATTCGGTGATTTGCGGGACCCGTCAAATCATGTTTGTTGAAATGACGTTTGATGTGCTGCAATCCCTAACCAAAACATGGTAGGATTTGGATGGATTACAGGGTATCAGCAAGACCGAGTGTCGCAATGCTTACATCGGTACAAAATATTTATAAAACCGAGTTTCAAAGTGTTATACATCGGTACCGAGTTGATGCTCGGATTTCCAAAAGTGAAAGCCGGTAGACTTTTGGTACATCAAAAGAGCCACTTCGTACATTCAGCGAAGCAAAAAGGGGGGTCCGTTCAAAAGAAGAGTCGGATATCCGACTTCGGACCGTTCATTGATAGAACTTCTTTAAGAAAACAGCATTCCAAGGATATTGATGTGGAGTTCCGTCAGGGTGAGCAATTCGGTAGGCTCCATGAGGTAGGACTTCAACAATTTGAAAGGGTCCTTCCCACCTCGGTTTGAGTGGACCGGGGTCGACCCCCATCACGCGTTTGAGAACCAGATCTCCAACTCGGAATGTACGCGGCTTGAATTTAGAATTGACGTATCTCTCGCTTCTGTGCTTGTAAGCGGCAATTTTGAGTTCGGCACGGGTGCGATGTTCTTCAAGCAGATCTATATTAGTTTTCAGGTTTTCCGAGTTGGACTCTTCGGTAAAATGTTGAATTCGGTAAGTGGGTTCACCGAGTTCAACTGGGACTACAGCTTCCGAACCGTAAGTGAGGGAGAACGGTGTCTCGCTTGTGGAAGTTCGGGTAGTGGTTCGGTATGCCCATAGGACGTGTGGCAACTCTTCAGGCCAAGCTCCTTTGGCAGCGTCAAGTCAGACTTTGAGGCCGTTTTTTATGAGTTTGTTCACAGCTACGACTTGACCGTTGGATTGCGGGTGGTAAGGTGTAGAGAAGAAGTGTTTGATGTTATATTATTCACATAGGGACTCAAGTTGTTTGCCTTCAAATTGTCTACCGTTGTCGGTAATGATGGAGTTCGGTACTCTGAAGCGGCAGATGATTGATTTCCATACAAAGTCAACGACTTTCTGTTCGGTTATCGTGGCTAACGGTTCGGCCTCGGCCCATTTAGTGAAATAATCAACTGCCACGATGGCAAATCGGACGCCTCCTTTTCCGGTTGGCAGGGGACCTATGAGATCGATCCCCCACTTGGCGAAAGGCCATGGACTATAGATTGATTTGAGCTCCTCGGGAAGTTGGTGGACGTTGGGTGTGAATATTTGACATTTCGGACATTTGCGAACCCATGCGGCGGCATCAGTTTTTAAGGTCGGCCAGTAATAACCCTGTCGTAAGACTTTTTAAGATAAGGCCTGTGCACCTGGGTGACTCCCGCAATTCCTTCATGCACTTCTTCAAGGATATATCGTGAGTCAGATTCACTCACGCATTTTAAAAGTGGGACAGAGTATCCTCTTTTGAACAAAGTTCCATTGTCCAGTGTGTACCGAGCTGCTCGAATCCGAAGTGTTCGAGCCTCTTTTGGGTCCGGAGGCAAGGCCCCTGTATTCAAGTAGTGAATTATAGGATCAATCCAAGTTGGTAGCTTTTGTGACGTTACCGGATCAATAGTCGCGACTTCGGAAAGAGCAGTTGAGGGCATCTCTTGTTGTCCGATTTGGATATACTCCATTCTCTCCATCCGGTACTTGAGGCTAACCGAGAAAAAGCGTCTGCTTGAACATTAAGAGTTCGAGGGATGTGTTCAACGTCAGCAGAAAACTTGATAATTTTCGCATTGCCAAAGATAGATATGGTGTCAACCGAGGTTCTTTGACTTCATATGAACCGTTAATTTGGTTGACAAGGAGTTGGGAGTCTGAGAAGACTTTGAGGTGTTTGACGTTCATGGATTCAACTAAGTTCAATCCGGATAACAAAGCTTCATATTCAGCTTCGTTATTTGTCGCATGAAAGAGAAATTTCCCCGAATGACAGAATAATCGATTTTCTGGGTTTGCCAGGACTATTCCTGCACTTGCTCGGTTGGCTGTCGAGGAACCGTCGATATAAAGAACCCACGGCTGATTATCATCATGACTTGTTATAGCCGGAGTGAATTCGGCGATGAAGTCGGATAAGACTTTTGCTTTGATCGTGGTCCTCGGTTGATAATGAATGTCGAATTGTCCGAGCTCGATGGCCCATTTTATCATGCGTCCCGAGGTTTCAGGTCGGTGCAGGATTTGTCGCAACGGATACGAAGTGCGGACCATTATAGAATGTTCTTGGAAATAAGGTCGCAATTTCCGGGCGGCAATTACAAGTGCAAACGCCAACTTTTCCATAGGAGGGTAGCGCAGTTCGGCATCCTGTAGGGCTTTGCTAATGTAATAAACGGGTGATTGTAGCGTTCCTTTTTCACGTATCAAAACAGCGCTAACCGCAGAATCACTGACGCCGAGGTACAAAAACCGCATTTCCTCGGGTCTCGGCTTTTGTAACGTCGATGGAGAGGCGAGCGTCTCCTTGATGCTGATGAGAGCCTTCTGACATTCCTTGGTCCATTCGAAGTGCTTTCCTTTTTTGATTGCTTCGAAGAAAGGTTTGCAACGATCCATGGATTTGGAGATGAATCGGTTGAGCGCAGCACGTCGGCCAGTTAGGGCCTGGACACCTTTAATCGAAGTCGGGGGAGTTAGATCTTGGATGGCTTTTATTTTGGCCAGGTTGGCCTCAATTCCGCGTTGGCTGACCATATAGCCCAGAAATTTCCCAGACTCAACTCCGAAGGTGCATTTCTTGGGATTTAAAACCATGGAATAAGACCGGAGGATATCAAACATGTCTTGAAGATGTGATATATGGTCGGAAGCGTGCACCGACTTGACGAGCATGTCGTCAGCATAAACTTCCATGGTATGACCAATCATTGTAGCAAACATTTTGTTGACAAGGCGTTGATAAGTGGCTCCAGCATTTTTCAATCCGAACGGCATCATGGTATAGCAGTACAAGCCTCGTGCTGAATAGAACGAAGTGTGTTCGGAATCTTCAGGATCTATAGGAATCTGATTATAACCAGAGTAAGCATCCATAAAACTCATTAAATCGTGTCCTGATGTGGCGTCAACCATGTAATCTATATGTGGGAGAGATTAACTGTCTTTCGGACACGCTTTGTTCAAGTCGGAAAAATCAATACACAGTCTCCACAGGCCATTGCTCTTTTTGACGAGAACAGGGTTTGAGACCCATGTCGGGTATCTGGCTTATTTAATAAACTTGTTGTCAATGAGTTTCTTAACTTCTTCTTCCAATTCTTTCTGAAGATCCGGCCCCAGTTTCTTTCATTTTTGAACAGTAGGCCGAACAGTTCGGTCAAGGTTCAATTTGTGACTAGCGACACAGGGGTCGATACCCTTCATGTTTTCATGTTTCCAAGCAAACACGTCTGAATTTTGTTTGAGAAACGAAATAAGTTCTGACCGGAGAGGCTCCTGAAGGTGACTTCCAATACGCAATGATTTATGGAAGATCGATTCATCGACGTATATCAATTCCACTTCTTCTCTAGGTTCTGCTCGATCATTTCGACTTTTTTCTTTGAATTGGGCCCTTGGGTCCAACTCTTCTTCTTCGAGGAGTGGCTCCTTTCCTGGCCGCCTACCTCGGTCTTAAGATAAAGGATCCGAGGTAGGAGGAACAACTGTGTCGTAATTCGGTTCCTCGGAAATTACCTTATCCGAGATGTTTTGTTGTGAGGAATTGTCGTCATTTCCCGAAGTGATGGAATAGACTCCGCTGGATGGTATGAAAGTAACAAGTTCTCGAGCTTCTCTTTGATCTCCTAAATGAGTTCCTTCTCCTCATGTAGTCAGGAACTTTAGTGCGTAATGAAAGATCGAGACCGCAGCTCGAAGTTTGTACAACGCTGTTCTGTCGATGATGGCATTATACTCGTTGTTGATGTCAAGAATTTTGAAAGTTTCCATAACGAGTTTGGTAATGTTCTCCTAAGTTCCAAATCTGACAGGTAAAGTGATCTCGCCGATGGGCTTTGAAATACTGCCATTAAATCCTTGTATTTGGTCGTTACAGGGTCGAATGTCAGCAGGATCGAGACCCATTTTGTCAAAGGTTTTTAACATCAAAATGCTCGAGTAGGCCCCAGTGTCGACCATTACGCGATGCACAGGGATTCCGCATATAGGAACAGTAATAACAAGTGCGTCTGAATGAGGGTGTGCAAAATGATTTGCATCCTCCATATTAAAAGTTATGGGACAATTGTTATTGAGGTTGTCTCTCAGGTCGGTGGTATACATTTGTTTATTTGAGTTGTAAGCTTGTCGAGCATAAGATTTGACTTGTAGACGGGATAATGTACTCCGAGTGTTGTTGGTATTGACACGGTGGACAGTTATTTGCATCGGGCTGGGAGATCTGCTTCGCTTGCGTCTTCGAGAGGTTTCAGTTGAGTTGGATTCGAGCGCTTCCGAAGTGAACATGAATATTTCCTTGTCTCCTTGCCGAATACGCTTCGGTATAGCACCGCAGTCCTCTTCGTCGTCATCATCATAAGATTCCATTGGATGTCCTGGGCCCCGTTTCTGAGGATCGGTGTTACGATAGAACTTTCTGAGCTGTGGATGACCGATTAAACGCAACAAAGCAGCTAACAGGCTTAAGCACTCGTCAGTATTGTGTCCTGGCTATTTGTGATAATCGCAATATCGGGATTTGTCCAACTTTTCTTCGGGCATCCGAAGTGGCTTGGGGTCCGGTAAAATGCCTTTCCCTTTGATTTCTTCGTATATGGTGGCAGCCCCAGTTGAATATACAGCCTGATAATCAGGTTTTACATCGGTGGCATACTGTTTTCGGGCTGCTCGTACTTCAAGATCGTTGGGATCTCCCCGAGGAGGCCCTCTGAACTGAGCTTTGTTCTGCTTTTCAAAAAACTTATTTTTCTTCTTCTCGTCGGTTCCCGCCTTGGATGACTTCGGGTTAAAATTAAAGTCGGGGACCGACATGGCATTCTTCGGCTATGATGTGCTGCTGAGCTCGAGCAAGAAACTCTTGAAAGGTGTTGGGCTTGTTTTGACACAACGTCCAGCGGAAAATGGAGTTCGGTTTCAACCCGGCAATATCCATGACAAGCAGGGTTTCAGGATGACAAGGCTCCATATTTTGGACTCGGTCATTAAATCGGGCGATATAGTCCTTGACACTTTCATCATCTTTTTGAGTTACATTTGCAAGAGATTCTTTTGGAATTAGACAGACTTGGGCCCTAATGAAATGTGATCAGAAAAAAGCCGACCTCAACTGTTGCCACTTCCAAATAGAGTGCGGAGGAAGAGAATGGTACCATTTTTGGGTGCGAGGCCCCAATGTGAGAGAAAACATACGACACCGAAGTGCGTCTGAGGCTCCATGCAAATCCATCCACGAAGTATAGTGACCGAGGTGTGATTCGGGGTCTGAAGTTCCATCATATAGCCCAATTTGAGGGACTTTAACTTTCCCAGGTACGGGTTTCGACGTAAGCTCCGGTGTGAGAGGGGAGTCGGCTTCCAGATATACTTGCGCCGAAGTTGAAGCCTGCCGAGGGGGGTCTTCGGGTGCTCGTTGCCGACTTTCCAGTTCGGCAATTCTTCGTCGCAACGTCTCAAGTTCGGATGATTCTTGACGAGCCCGATTTCGTTCTATGTGTTGCCGAAGGTCGGTCTGTGCCGGGTTGGAGGGGATTCGGTGCCGCGCATGAGGCAGTGATCGTCGTGAATGACCAGACTGGCTTTCGGCGGTTTCTTCATGAGGAAGTATAGGGGGATTGCGCCCAACATCGGTGCGACGTGTGGTTTGTTCCGGAGGTGGCTGCGACGCTCGACTGCGGGGTTGAGACGTGGCGTGAGATGTGGTCCTTCCGCCATCTTGCCGTGCCGGTGGGTTCTGTGGATTTGCAGGCGTTGTGGGTATTAGGGAATGTCCTGGGGCAGTCATTGAGGCTCCAGGGACCGTTTGAGCCATCAAGGTAGCAAATCCACGTGCAAACTCGGGATTTTGGAACAAAACAGCGTAATCCGGTATATGGGGGGCTACGACTGGTCGTCGAGCGGATTGCGCGGCGTTGCGACTGTGACCATCGCGTGAAGTTTGGCCACGATTATCAGAATGAGACATGATAGGTGTAGCTCATGTGGATCGCTTAAACTCGAGTCGGAAAGTAACCTCAAATCACTTATGAGCCCCTTCCTCTAGCGCCAAACTGTTGTCGTATGATTCTTAACAACGATTTAACGTGGAGTTTACGTAATAATGTCGAGTGGTTTGGACGTAAAATATGTGAAAAAGACTCAACAATGGCCCCGGTCCGAGGTGGACCGAGGTGAAAAGCCTCTGTGGGCTGTTGCGTGTTGCATTGTAGGAGAATGTTGGGTCCGGAACCGAATCCCGTACAAATATCACTAGCCAGCTATTTATAGTAACTTTTTGACACATACATTGGGATCCGTGTACGATTTTTTAGGAAAAACTACTTTTGATGGGCGGCCAAATCAGTGGGCTCTACATGAATGATGACAAATCTCGTAGATTGTGAAAGGGGCGTGTAGGCGCCTTGTCACCTCCTTTTGGAGGTGACGAGCTCGGTTCATGTTTACCTCGGTTTGGATTGAACTCGGCGGGAAAGGATCACTTCGGTCTTCTGGGGTCGTACCGGTTTATTGTGCGAACCGGGACGACTCTAAGTTACATCGGTATCCGAGTCAAATTTGCTTATGGTGCTATTTTGGGTCCTTAATTACGCTTTACCGAGTCGGATGATAACACGTACTATTCCATTCATGTATGAACCCTACATATTTGAAATAATAAATAATACAAAAAAAAAAAATGTAAAATCAGTTTTATATTCATGTAATAATGTTAATGATAAAATTTGAAAATTTACCCCTTCATCATGAAACAGGATATGAAAAGCGTCTGGATGCTTCGGATCGTCATGAGTTTCCAGCAGTAAGACTACTTTCAACTTCAAAAATGGTTTGTTGGATCTACTCACGGCGTCTAGTGTACCTCGGAATGTTGCCATAAAATAATTTTTGTATTTTGTAATTTTTGTTTTCCTACGCGTGTTTAGGAGGTGAAGAAAAAATAATCTCAGTGTGTACCTTTTATATAGAGACTTTTTCTACATGTTAAACGTGTATAGCGATATTAGATAAGGCACAAGGTTTTCGGATTTTTTATGGAAGGTTGTTACGATAATAATGGAATAAAATTAAGGAATTAAAAATTGTTAAGATACTAATAAGTTGTTAAGATAATAAAGAAATCAAATTAATTTCGAATTCAATGAAAGTTGTTAAAATAATAAAGGAGTCAAATTAAGGATTTATATAAACTTCTTATCCAATCTTTTTTTAACGGATTTTTTATTTAAATATTTTGTTTAATTTGTTTAACGGATTTTTATAATACTTTCCACAAATGGAAAGTGAAAACATTTTTTTTTTTAAAACTTTCCTTAAATGATTTTTTGACATTTCTCTTTCAATTATTATAGATACTAGGTAAAAGGGATTAGGGTGTGGGGAGATATGGCGGCTCCAGCCCTACTAACTTCTTTTTTTTTTTTTTTTGATTTATTAAGATAATGACCCACTAATTAGGAAACTAATTTTCAAATTTAGTTGGTCAAAATCTTATCTCACATGATATAAAATTATCCTCTCTCTTATGTGGGCTTTTAATTAATTAATCATATTAATGTTTGGATTTGAATTTTTAAAGTCCAACTTTAAAATCCAACTATTAATTTAGTAATTACAATAATTACTTAATTAATATCCAAAGCCCAATTAATCAATCATATTAATTAATTGATACTATTTCTTTAATTGACATCTAATCAAAATTAGATTTAATTAAATAATCAAATTATTTAATTAAGTCTTGTCAATTAATCCAACTATTGGAAATACCAATTTTAAAATGTCATCATCCAAAATATGGTGTGACCCTTTTAGGTTCACAATTAACACTAGTAGTGGGTTTACAACTCATTTGTAATTTAAATTAATCTAACTAATTTATATTCTTGAAATTAACTCTTTAATTTCAAGAACCCACAAAATATGGTAACACCTAGCAAATAGCATGATTATCTAGTGTTAAGTGAAATAGCGAGTAAAACCTTTTCAATTGCAAGTGCATACATGTAAAATCCTTTCGACAACTAATTTCCCGATTAAATCTTGGGCATGGATTAATAGTCGAAACCCAATTGATTTAATAACTATGATTCTATTTCAAGTTTAGTGATTCCTTTATGAATCCATATTCATCCTGCCTTGACCAAGGTCTTTGAATCACAAACTATGAAAACATAGGAAATTCACTTATCCACATAAGTGTCGAATTCTATGTTGGCCACAGACAAACCTCCATACACATTGTTACAATACCCAAAATATCCCTTTTATGAGTGTCCAGCAACCAAAGGATAAATCAAAGTAAAGCACAACATGCACAAGATTACTATCGTGCCTCAAGTCAGAGGATCAATCATGTACTATTGCAACATGAAAATTCTTATTCGTCAGTTAGAAACTTCCAACTAAGAATTTTCATCGGGCCATGTTCAGTGAACTTGGTTTCCAACAAGCACCCGCATATATGCATTTGCGTCCACACGCTAATGTTGATGGAATGCAACATCCTCGTCCGACGAGCATGCATCATATGCAAAAGTCTTACCGGGTTATTCAATGCCCTGTCTCGAAATACCCATCGACTTGGAACTCATTTAAGATCACAACTTTAAAGACATGTTCCATGATTGCCATCGAATGCGCAACTATGTCTCATAGCTAATAATGATCTAAGGACTTTATCATACGTGCAAATATGAGATAAATGCAAAGACATAAGATAAAAAAAAATGCCTCAAAATAATATAAATTCCAATAAATTGTCTTTACAAGTAGATAAAGATCCAATGAGATTGGAACGTCGGGTATTCTACTCTAACACTCAAAGAGGTGTCAGAATACACAACAGAACTATTGAAGCTGATTCGTTCACGCGGTCTGGTAGATCGTTACCCTCTGCTTAGACTCGACAAAAGTCTTAAACCATAAATTTTCAATCCTAACTTTAGATCTCCTGCGATTATGATTGAGTTCTTAGATATTTGATTATACACATCGATCGAAGTTCCTCACAAAACCCAAAACACCCAAACCGTGTTGGGATGCAAATGTTGAACATTAAATATATAAAAGAAAAAATAATCCCTCATATATATAAATATAGAGTTTTTGAATTCTAAACTTAATGCAAGTGTAATGCCTAACCGGCCGAGAATCGCTTCGAGCTCGCCTTCCTCACCGGCAAGACGCTGAAACCTGCAATAGAATCTCACACCGGAGGGTTTTCCAGTGAAGAGCCTCCAATGCTCAAGTCAGCCTTGAGAAGATGAATATATGTGTGAGTATGTAAAAGCATGAGAGATTTTGATTAAAATGAGAGATCTCTTCCCTATTTATAGGGACGAGTTACCTATTTTCCACGCGCGGCCTGGGCAAGTCCAGCTGGTTATCTTCCTTGCTCGTCCGTACAACGCCTACCTCCACTACCTTGGTGTCAGAAACGCGTCAGGAGTGTCAGAGAATGTCAGAGACCGTTATCGCCCTGGACCACTCATGGTGCGTCGCGTGTCCTCCTCTCACGTGCTGAAGATTCTCTCAGAGATCTAGGGTTTTGACCAGATCTGGCATAATCACTGAGCTGTCCATATGATGAAGAGTGGTCGACTCCTCATCAGAGCTGCTCAACCATCGGATTCTTCGACCAGTGCCTAACGCAACGAGTAATCCTCCAATTCTACCGAACCCGTACATCTTCGACTCCTCGTCCTTGTTGGTTAACCACCGTCATTGATTCTTTTTCATCCTGTCGAGTAGGCGAACCGGTCCAGTATACAATATCCCATATCAAACCTACTTGTCAACTTTTAGTGGTTCGTAATCCCATATGCTACTTATATGTGTTAAATTTTGGTTTTTCGGACAAGTCCATGTAGATTAAATTTTTATTCACGCCTAATAGATTTTTTAAATAATAAAACACTTAATCAATTTAAATTATAAATATATTTAATAAATTAATAACTTTTTTATTTGTTATTAAATTTTGATATATGATATATTCATATATATAAAAAGAGAATAAGATATCGCATATAAATAGAAATTTTTGCCAAAGCATTTAATGCATACTGTTTTTGGAAATGAATTAAAAACAAGTTAGGATGAAAAAGCCGGAGAAGGCGTGGCGAAATATTAGTTGGGTTGTACTCAGATCAAAATTTTTATGCTTACTTCTGAAACTTATGCAGGTAACATCTTTAACTGAAACTCTTGCTTAATTAAACTTTGAAAAATCTCGGAAACAAGCGTGGAGGGTTCTTTCAGAACCGGATTCCTTAGTGGCTAAAGTTCTCAAATTCAAGTATTTTCCTTCATGTTCATTCCTTGAAGCTACAACTCACCCGGGCTCGTCATTCATTTGGAGAAGTCTCTTGTGGGGTCGAGAAGTCATCAAGGTCGGTATGCATTAGAGCGTAGGTGACGGTCAGTCAATCAAAGTTTTTTCAGACCCTGGATACCTCATTTCCAAAACTTTCGGCCTATGTCTCACTATTCTACAAGCATTAGTCCAGTTAGCGACTTAATTGGGAGAAATAGAGACTGGAACCAAGATTTAATTCATCAAGTTTTCTTACCAATTGACGCGATCAAAATTCTTTCAATCCCTATTAGCTTGAACCACTTCTCTCAATCCCTCTTAGTTTGAACCACTTCTCTGATCATATCATTTGGCACTATTCTAAAAATGGCGAGTACACTGTTAAAAGTG